CCCAAGAGGACAAAACATGCTCTGAATCAGCTCTAAGGTCAGGGATAGCCAAGCATTCAGGTATATTTTTTGACTGTCTTGGCTACTGATAGCTGATCATGCTTTAAAGATTTATTCCCACCCCCACTCCCTTTTTTTTTTGAGGCCTAATCATATATATATATATAAGGGTTATGGGTTTCACAGACCCCGCTGTGCACAATGCTTTAGGCTCAACTGCTGATTAATCCCATCAAGAACAGTGAGAAAGAGCAAGGCTGAACAGCTGCCAAATAAATACCTTTAAACATATATAAACACTGTGAAAGAATGGAGGGGACGGGGTCACTGTCTGTGGGAAGACAGCAGAATGCAGTCCTTCCCCTGGGGCTCAGCACAAAAAGATAATAGGAATTGCTAAAATCCTTCCCTCATCAAAGGACACCTGGGCTGTCACTGGGCTCAGGATCCTGTTTCTCTTTTCTCCTCATTCCCTCTATGGAGTCTCATCCTTAGATCTCCATCTCCTCAGCTAGTCTGCACACTGACCTGGCTACACAAGGTGGACAGTCTAGGGACAACTCTCTTCTCCCCCTACCCCCCCCCCCCCCGGAAGACTCACAGCAGTCATTACTTGTCCCTTATATTCTACAGCAAAACCAAGCTCATCCAGACTTGAGAGGCTTTCATGTGAAATTTCGCTTGATTTCACATGTGGCTGCAGCACCCATCATTTGCATCCCGTCAGTTTTTGGCCTCCACTTATCACACAACGGGAATATTGTTCCTGACATTTTCTGGACCCAAATAATATTGCATCATCTTCTTTTATTGCTAAGAACACTTGTTGAATTCACTTTTAAATATCTGATAATATCACACACTAAGAGTATTCTTTTTTATTAATGGTGACTAAACAGAAATAGGACTGAGAGAAGGAGGGAGAAATGGCTTTCTAGTTCAGAAGAGGAATCATTTTTTTAAAGTACACTGACCCACTTCATTAGCATTCATAAATGTTTTATATGATACATAATTAGTGAAGGGGCAAGGGGGTTATTCCTTATGCCCACCGTGGGCTATTTGCCCTTGCCCCATGTCTCCTAGTGGGACTGACAAAAGCCTCAAGAGGGTGCAGGTAGGGAGATGGAGGCTCAAAGTGGGGGAGAGGAATTAAAGGATGATAAGGGGCACTCAGAAAAGGAGGCAGGGGGTTGGGCCCAGCTGGCTGGAGGAGGAGGAAGAGGACTCATCATCCTCGGAGAAACCCAACCAAACCCAACCCACAGGCACTAGAGATGGAAGCACCACAAGATGCACCAGAGACAGCAGGAGTAGAGGCTATGGAATCACTGACAGTGGTGAGCAACCCACACTACAAACCTTCTTTAAAGGGCATAGGTTGCCTTTGAGCTGTATTGAAGACCTGACACCACCAAGAGACTGTGGACAGTCCAAACCCATTGCCAGGAAATTTAATCTGGGCAGGAGGTTAGCAAAGCCAACTCAATCCCCCCCACAAGCAAACTGGAAATATGGGATGTGGCCAGCATCTCTCTCTTTCTTGTACCCCATTCCCCAGCCCGATAAAAATTGCATTCTAGTAACTGTGGGAGTTTAAACATTGTGGAAACTATGACTGAGGAGGGGTTCCCAGCCACCCTCACCTTGGGCAGGGAGGAACTACTCACAGATGAGTGAAAATGCCAAACTCAGTTTTATTCCGATCTCTTCTTCCTCCCAGCTTTCAAATTCCCTCTGACTCTTTTTCACACCAAATATTATACATGCTTTTATGTGCATTTTTAAAAAGCTACACATTTTAAACATGTATATTTTAGTTCATATGTTTGTGCATACACATTTAAAGTTTTCTTTAAAAACATTGTGTGTTTGTGTGTTTCCTCAATAATGCATCTTATGCACATAATTACAGGTTTTCAATGTACATATTTTGTGCTCATTTTATTTTCTCAAACTTCATTGTGAACTTTGGAACTGTATGGATTTCTACTGCAAAGAACACTCTGATTCACACTTGGAGAAGTTCACAGAAATGGAAATTAAGCAAAATTCACACAGCTCCCAACCCATAACTAGATAGTGAAGTTTTAAAGAAAAACTTTTTTCACCCCAAAACAGGATCTGATGAGGGGGACAGAACCACATATGGCACAATCCTGCTATGGTAAAGGAAACATTTCTCATTAAATGGGAGTCAATCTGACGATCCCATTAAAGAGCTAGACTCTGGGTTCAGAGAGTAGACATTGGGGCAGCATTTAGTTTCAGAAGTACTGCACCCTGAGGAAGCAAGCAAACAGTTCATACCATAAACACAAACAGCAGCAGTGGCATGTTCTCTCCCCTTGAGGCTGCTTAGGTAAAATGAAGAAATAAAACCCCTGGAAAACAACATCAGTCAAGAAGACTGGAGAAAACAAATTCCCATTGTGCACTGGTATCTAGCAGGGCAAAATCAACTAATGACAGTCCAACAGTCATACAAGGTAATTAAAGATCGTGACAGATTATATTCTAGAAATGATTGTAGCAAGAAAGGACACTAGAAGCACTCTTAGACTGCTTCTAAGGCATCGCTAACAATGCAGAGAAACTAACATGATCAAGCTTTCAATTTGTGGGCTTCCCCCAAAATAAATAAATAAATAAATATCTGAACTTAACACACAGGCAAAGCAGCAAAATTTCAGTGTTGCTTCCCATCAATGGTACAAGCAGATCCATAGTTCAAAAGGAGTCTGCTAATTAAAAGCTGGTGAGGTTTAAATAATTCATCTTCTTAACTCATATTGATTTGGTAGTTTAGTGGTTAGGATCTTGAAACAATATTGAACAGCTTCCTTCAGGCTTGTGCTATGAGTGATTTTTATATGCAAGTCTCTTGGCCTAGCAAACTTAAACACATTGCATGAAGAGGCGACAAAGCAAAGAAGGACATATCTTGGTTGCTGGAGGGAAAGGAATAAAATGCATACTGAAGGGCTTATTTAAAGAAAAGTGAAAAATGACCAACAAATTATCAACCCACACTCCTCTCACATTTCATTCCTGGAACTGCCACTATATAGCAATCCTCATTAAAGCAGGTCTCTCTTGGATCCTCAGAAGCTGCTGAACTATAGTTCTCACAATCCCTGGTCTTTGGCCAGGCAAACTGGGGCTTCTGGAAGGTGATGTCCAACAACATCTGAGGAGCCTCTACCCAACAGGACATAACTAATGGCTGTTTCCCCAGCATATCTGACAAGCAGGAACAGAATTATACTGACCCACAGCTGGTAGGCTGACACAATAACCATTTAAAAACACATACACAAAAACTGTAAAGCTGTGTATACTCCCATAGTTGCATATAGTAAGACCAGGAATAAAGGAAAGCTCTCCAGTCTACATACCACCTTTGGCACAGCTATGGTCAAACACTCCCACCTGAGCAAAAACACAGATTAGAAAAGCAAAGGCTAATGAAAGATCATCTGGTATGACATCAGAAAGGATGTGTCATAGTGCTCTGCCAGTATTCATGTATGGGAGCACTTTTTCCAGCTAGAAGCCAAATGTCTTAAAACGTTTATTAAGAGCTGATGGGTCTTGATGATGGATTGAAACACAGTTTGGAGAATGCCAAGAAAGCCTGCTCCTTACTCCTCTAGCATTCAATGCCTAGTCTTGAGCACTGCTTGAAATTTCTATTCCTTCTGCATTCAAGAGACAGTGACACACTTGAGCACTGCTTGAAATTTCTGTTCCTTCTGCATTCAAGAGACAGTGACACACCTAACCCTACAAACTCAGCATCTTTCCTTTTCACCAAAAAGCCAGACCAAAGATAGTCACAAGCTGATTCATAGTGATGTGAGTCATGTATCCTAGATTTCAAAAGCTGCAGAATAAGCTCCCACTATACCAGTCTTCTCCAAAAGAATGAATGTAAGACTTCAACTCCCATCATCCTAAAAATTAAATGAATGAATGAACTCCCATCACTCTATATACCACTAGTATGCTGGTTGAAACAAAAATAGACAGTGTAGCACATCAAGAGTATTGTGCTATACACTAAAGATAGGCAACATGTGTTCTGCAGAAGGTTGGAAGGGCCATTTTTTTGCAGATCCCAGATCCCAGAGTACCATGATACCACCTATTATCCCCTTCCAAAAAAGAAAGAGACAGAGAGACACTGACAGAGAGAGTGAGAGTACCCCAAAAATCCTCTTATGTCCTGTAGGGCAGGGTCCCCAACCCCTGGACCACAGACTCATACCAGTCTGTGGCCTTGGCAGGACCGGGCCATGGAGACAGATCTCCTGCCTTCCCGTACACACAGACGCCCCCCATGTATGCATGCTCCCACACACACACAGAGATGCACACACGGTCCCCCCATGCATGCATGCACACACCCCAAATACGCAGATGGATGCACACACGGAGACAGGTGCATACCCTCCCTGCATGAATGGACGCACATACCCCACACACCCCCGTGCATGCACAGATGTACTCTCACATGCATACACACATGCACAGACACCATCCCCATGCATGCTAAACTGGTCCGCGGTGTCAAAAAGGTTGAGGACCACTGCTCTAGGGCATATCTGGAACAACGTGGCATGTTTGTGGGGCAACACCCCCCCGAGAACTATATATACCCCTACTTTTAAAAAATAATTTTTGCCACTAGAAAGCACATGGAGACTTTTCAGTTTACATTCTTAAAAATTAAACTCTTTTTAGCTAACAAAAGGCAATTGTAACAAAATTTATATCATGTAACCATGCATTTTTAAAAAACATAACTTTTTTTTTTAAAAAAAAATACAATTCAGCCTCATCCTTTCGAAGTACAGCCCTTGGTCTCCTGGCAAATCTGAAAAATGGCCCTTGGCCCCAATGAGACTGCCCACCATTGAATCATATCCTCAAAACACTTGGGGGGGGGAAGGAGAAAATGGGGTGGGAAGGTGAGAGTAAAGAGACATGTTACTAACCTATCCCACTGTGAGGCCTTCCTATGTGCTGTAGATTCAGGCCTTTGTTCATGTCTAAGAGTCCATTCTTTGGCCAGCTCCCCATGGCAAAGCTGTACGCCTGGAAAAAGAGATTTTAAAAATTGTTAGACATTTGCGCAGCAAAAGAGTGATTCCGTATCCCAAACGCCACCAATCTGTTGTCCAAAACTAGTCAAAACTCTACAAACTTGTCAAGTAGAGGTTGGACTGATTTCTCAGGAAGCCCTTATGCCCCAACACATTGTGCTCTTCTTTAGATATGTGCAAATCCAAATTCACCTCCACCACTCGCCAATGTTCTCCCTTCCCTGTGGCAACTTAATTTGGCTCGTGGCACAGGCTTTTGACTTGCTATGGACATTAACCCTTGTTTAAAGCAGATTCCAAAATCCAGTATCCCAGGTTCTCTATATTTCCCAGGTTTGGTTTGTGGTACACAAACACCATTCATTGTCAGCAATATTCAGGATAACACTGACCACACAATACCACATCCTAAGTGGAAGCAAGAGAAAAGTGAATCACTCAGTCAGACAGCAAACCGGATACAGTATATTAAAAAGCTATGGCTAAAGTGAAGAAATTACTCCCTTTACACCCACAGAATACATTAAAGATTCTAGAGTTCTCAAGACACCTTTTTGCATATCAGAATTTTCTCTATAGCATAAAGGGCAACATACATTTTGAAATCAAGCATTGGCTACTACCTTTCATATTTCCTGACTTAACTTCTTTTGTGCTAGAGACAGAAATATTTTCCTTATTAATTTATCAGTATATGAAGAGTAACATTTGGATTTAATTTCTATTATAAAATGAAGAGAAAGAGGAGAATAAGGAGAAAGCCACATTTCTCTGTTTTACTGAAATGGGAACTAGCCTTTGGCTTTTGAAGGCACCAGGGACGTGGTGGCTCTATGGGTTAAACCGCAAAGCCTCTGGGCTGCAAGGTCGAAAGATCAGCAGTTTGAATCCACGCAATGGAGTGAGCTCCCGTCACTTGTCCCAGCTCCTACCAACCTAGCAGTTCGAAAGCATGTTAAAATGAGAGTAGATAAATAGATACCGCTACGGTGGCAAGGTAACAACGTTCCATGTCTAGTCATGCTGGTCATGTTAACCAGCGTTAAATAAAGTTAAATAAATAAAATAAAATGTGAGCACAGAAACTGTCTATAGAAAAACGTTGGCTCCATGGCTTGGAAATGGGGATGAGCACCGCCCCCTAAAGTCGGACACGACTGGACTAAATGTCAAGGGGAACCTTTACCTTTACCTTTGAAGGCACCATGACAGAAAGGGCCACCCTTGATGCCAAAGGCACCCCCTTAAAGCAAAAGAAAAACTTAAGTGAAATAGGTTATGCCACTACAAAAGGAACTTATTCCAGAAAAGATATGATTTCTGATACTTTGCTTCAATTTTTTTTCTCACTATTCACACTGGCCAAACAATTTTGATTATTTATGATAGAGACAACTAGGACCCAGAGAATAATATAAAATGTACTTTATGTAGCTCCAACAGTTATCTTCCGGCCAATACCACTATGGGAGGCTCCAGCATATACTCTAAGCTTTTCAGAAGAAAAAGAGTACAGAAACAAAAGAACAATGCGGACAGCAGAATACATCATTTGGTGGCAATTAGTTTTTTTGTGCTCTGGTCAGAGCTTAACATCTATTAACAGCAACAAAGCCATTAGCCAAGCAATGCTGCCCTTTCTATTTGCTTGACTCCCTCAAATGTACATGTAATTTGCTAGAGGCAGTGGAGGGAGGGAGTAATTCAACATTTTTTAACATCTGTACTATTCTTACTTGTGCCTGAAATCCATCAAGAACGTAATCACAGCTATGGAATCCAGTTGTGTCCTCAACTAAAATTAGTTCACAGAGGGGATAGTGGAGAAGATGCAAGTGTGGGGCAGCAGAAACGGAGGGAGAAAAGCTTCAGGGCCCCAAAACACTGTAATGATTATGACCTGACAGCAGCACATCTTCTGTATCACAAGGTATTACAACAGCTGTGCCATTGTGTGATATTAATGGTGCAAGGCTTAGCAATACGTCAGATCTAGGCTGCCATGTGAGCCGCTGTTCCCAGATGAGATCATGTCAATCCAGAGGAGAAATGGAGAATATATCACTTCCATATCCCTTACATGTCAGCTAACACAGAAACAGGAAGAATGGGAATAAGGAGAGTTGGCAGTTATCCTTTCCTCAGGGCCTCAAAGTAACTAGTTAGGACACTTACATGTAACTAGTTGTTTCAGGTATAACGAGTAACATTCTTAAATTATTTTCAAAAGTTTCTTTTCACTGACATTCTGATTTTTTTTTCAGAGGCATTTTGATAGGAGTCTTTGGGATTTCATACCATTCTATTATCAGTCACAAATAACAAGTGAAGAATTCTTTGGTTTTGTCTTTTTGCAAATATTTGCACGGTGCAACATCAGAATTGGTCGCTAGAGGGAACTAGAAAGAAGATCCTTGAATTTTTCAAGCCTCCTGTTAATGACACTGCAACGTGTTAATACGGTGTGAGGTGCTAAACTACATGTGCAATAAGAGAGACAACAAAGATAAAGAAACATGTTTCTTTTTTAAAAAGCATTCCAAGCTCTGCCTTTCTCTACCTAATTAACCATAACTTAGAGAAGTCAACAGTCTAAGGTGATAAATGAAAGCTGTTATAGTGGAAGGGGACATTAAACCACACTTGGCCATAAAGATTACGCCTAGTAAATCTGTGAAGACAATAATTATGCTTCCAAAGAATACAGAACTATGTTATATAAACACATCCTTCCACAGCAGGCCATGAACATGAAGACCATATTTATGCTTCCAAAAATATACAGATAACCTATATGAAGCCACCCTTCCATGTTATTTCAAGATCAGCTTATACACTAAAGCTACCCAACCAACCAGGAAAACTATGAACAGGTTGTGTGCCTCTTTTTCTTCTGAAATCCTCACAATTAAGTACGTGAAAAAGCCTATGGAAGAGAAAACAGCCATTTATTCTGGATGCAGGATAACTCAACCATTCCCTCAGTCTTCCATAACATTCTAACGGAGATATGACTGTATCCTGAGTAAACTACCACTAAAATAACTCTGGTATTTGTTGAAGAACACATCTCTTCTTATTTTCTGCCAATGCATGTACTGTAAATTATTCACTGAAGAATTTTAACATAATACAAAAAGTTCTAAAGTTGTCCTTTTAATTTCTAGTTCAAAGAACCTCCACAATATCTGCACCTGTAATAATACCACTATAATTGTATTAGAGAATCTTCTGGCACAGTGGTTAAACTGCAGTGTTGCAGACAAAACTCTGTTCACGACTTGAGTTCAATCCTGACATGCTCAGGTAGCCAGCTCAAGGCTGACTCAGTCTTCCATTCTTCTGAGGTTAGTAAATTGAGTACTCACCTTGCAGTGCAGGGGGAGGGATTTGTAGTCTGCATAATTAAATTGCAAGCCAATGAGAGAGTGCTTTAAGTACTATGTGGCAGTATATAAGCACCACACTTTATATTTTGCTTTGCTCAAACCTCACCTGGAATAAAGTAAAGGTAAAGGTTCCCCTTGACAATTTTTGTCCAGTCGTGTCCGACTTTAGGGGGCGGCGCTCATCCCGCTCTTCAAGCCATAGAGCCAGCGTTTGTCCGAAGACAATCTTTCCGTGGTCACATGGCCAGTGTGATTTAGACACGGAACCTGGAATACTATAACAAATTTGGGGCACCATGGTTGAAGAGGAATATTGATAAACAACAACATGCCCAAAGAAGGGGAAAAAGATGGTAAAGAGTTGAGAAAAAGTTCGTAAATGAAACCATATGCGAAATGAGTGAAGGAGATGGGTATGAGTAAAGGTGATATGCCAGCTGCATTATTGAAGCACTACCACATGGAGGAAAAGTAAGGTTGTTTTCTGCTACAACCTTAGGTAGGACCTGAAAAAATGGATTCAAGTTACAAAAAATAAAATAAAAATAAATTAAGCATTGGAAAGAACGTCCCTTTAGCCAGAGCTGCCTGGCATAGAAAAAAATACCTCAGACAGTGGACATTGTTCCTTCATTGGAGGTTTTCGAACAGAGGTTGCATGGCCACCTATCAGCAATTCCTTAGCTGTAGATTCTCCATACTATAAGGAGTTGGATGACCCTTGAGGTCTCTTCAAATGATACAATTCTATGATTTTATGATATAATTGACTCTGGAGTTATTATAAACAAATTCTTCCGTCTCAAGAGATACAGCCATGCTGGTTAAGATTATGCCATGTGACATTTTGTTCATACAGCAGTCTATTCACCAAATATCAATGGGAAGACCACAAGCAGCATATAGGTACAACAGTAACCTCTTGCTTATGTTCCTCAGCAACTGAGATACAGGGTTTCTGGTACTGGAAGAACCACATCTGAGTGGTAGCTACTGATACGTAGCTTAATCTGCCACATCCCCTTCTAAAAGCTGTCCAAGTTGGGGGCCATCACTGCAACTCATGGTAGCAAATCCCACAATATAATTATTTGTTAGCTGGCTGGATACCTCAATAATGTAGGCATCTGGCTATGGAGCCAGGGGCTGGGAGTTCAGTTCCCCACTGCACATCTCAGAAGATCCAGCGTGTGTAGCCTTGGGTAGACTACACAGTCTCACAGTGCACCCAAAAAAAGGGAATTGCAAACTCCTGTGTACTCTTTACCAAGAAAATCCTGGAAAGGGTCACCAGCAGTCAGAATCAACATGCAATTATTATTAATTATGTATTATTTGAAGAAACACTTCTGCTTTTCTAGGCCGACTCTTCTACTATTCGTAAGCACAAAGAGATTTGTGAAAGCATATTTTATGAGGTAACCACATCAAGGAAAGCAAATACCACCTGCAGTCTGGCTAGATAGCAAACTGTCCCTATTTGAAAGCTAGTGTATTTAAGGCCCTCCCTACCAATCACTACCACTGTCAAGATGTCCCTGGAGTTTCATCATGGGTTTTGGGTAGTTAATTTATTGCCATGTATGTAGCCATTTATGCTGCT